GATGGCTGGATGGATGGATGGATTTGAGAGAATTCTTTCAGATCCAGAACAGAGTTCGTCTCCATTTAAATCCTTTTCAGGTTATTGAGTCCAGCTGTGGCAGCCATCTTGGATGGATGGATGGATGGCTGGATGGATGGATGGCTGGATGGATGGATGGCTGGATGGATGGATGGCTGGATGGATGGCTGGATGGATGGATGGATGGATGGCTGGATGGATTTGAGAGAATTCTTTCAGATCCAGAACAGAGTTCGTCTCCATTTAAATCCTTTTCAGGTTATTGAGTCCAGCTGTGGCAGCCATCTTGGATGGATCTGGGTCCTTGAGTAAGAACATCTGATGGTTACCCTCACAGTTTTGTTACATTCATGAGAAATGTTTCTGTTAGTTCGTGGAAAAGTTTCTAATCAGCTCTTATCCAATCAGTTAGAGCTCAGAGTTTAAGTTGAGCTTGACTCTCAGCTACTACCACACCAAGTCTTGTGAAAACGACTCGCGGGCTCTATCCATGTTGGTGTTGAACCTGTGGCAGCCATCTTGGGTGGGGTTGAGTCCGAGCGTTGATCCAGTGTAAGGAGGGCGACACTCGCTCCACGTTGCTGCGCTTTGACTGTTGAGCTGCCGTTAGAGCAGCGCTCGCTTCTTTCACTGACCAGCAACAGCTAAATTAACATATTCACACTTTACTGTTAAATAACGTTCATCCAAATCTGTCTTTGAACTTTAGCACAAAACTAATCAAACTAAGAACCATCAACAATACAGTCAACAATCAATCAACAATCAACAACAATAAACAAATTGAACAACACAATAAATGAAAATAATTTGGAGAATCACTTGTTTGTTAATCAATAACTGATCGAGGATCGTTTCTCTTTTATTCTACGGTCAAATGAACTCTGAGCAGAAACTATCGGAGCTTTTATACGTGCACAAATTTAGACAGAATTTAAATGTGACGAAGAGTTTGTGGGAACACCTGAACCAGCCAGATCTTCAGCTCAGGGAGAACTTTGACCCAGCTGGGGCGGGGACACGAGTCCGACTGGACCATGTTCTGCACCTCGATTCTTGAAGGCCTTGAGCTGTGGCCGCCGTCCTCGAACTCACAGGTGGACACGGTTTTTTCTCTGCACCTTTGTTTCTACAGGTTAGTCCCACTGAGCCATGAGGACTCATCTACAATAGACACCTGCTTCAGACACATCAGATGAAGGACAAGAACAATAAACTATAGTAAACTGCAGTCAAATAAAAGTAGTGTTCTAAAACACTGGGGGGTCAGGGAGGCTGTCAAGCTGAAGGAGTCCCATCGGTCCTTGGTGGCTGGTGGGACTCTGGGGCAGCTGAGGAGCTCCGGAGGACCAAGCGCTCCGCAGCCTTGACTGATGCTGAAGCAAAAGCTGTGATGTGAAGGAGTTCTGTGAGACCTTGGATGGAGACTCTCTGTCGGCTCCAAAGAGATTCTGGCAAACCACGAGGCGGCTGAGGGGGAGAAGCAGCTCTTTACCAACACTGTTCAGTGAAGGTGGGGGCTGTTGACCTCAACCAGTGCTGTCATGGGGAGGTGGAAGGAATACTTCTCTGACCTTCTCAATCCCACCAGCATGTCTTCCATGGAGGAAGTGGAGTCAGGGGACTTGGGTTGGTCTGTTCATAACTGTGGCTGATGTGGCTGAGTTAAAAAGCTCTGTGGTGGGGGCTCTGGGGGTGCATGAGAGTCGCCCTGATTTCCTTAAGGAGCTAAATGTTGTGGGTCTGTCTTGGTTGACACGTCTTTGCAACATCGCGTGGACATCAGGGGCAGTACCGCTGGACTGGCAGACTGGGGTGGTGGTCCCCCTCTTCAGAAAGGGGGACTGGAGGGTGTGCTCCAATTACAGAGGCATCACCCCCCCCCCCCCCCATTCACGGGTACTGGAGAAGCGAGTCCACAGAGGTTAGAGAAGGTGGGCCTGTGATAGGAAGGTCGCATGTTCAACTCCCCAGACCAA